CCAACATAATGCAATAAGCAATGACCCAACAAGGATCTGATTCATGTTATGAATAACGGAAACAAAGCAAAACTTGTTGCAGTGGCAGGTTATGTTGACTCATCTACTTCAGCCCCTAATCCACCCTCTTTAACAAAGCATCGTCGCACCGATGCCTACAGCAGTTCTTTAGAAGGAAATATATTGGGAGGAAGGTTTCTTTACTTGTATGTGGATCTCTAAGCCATCTAACACATGGACTTTCTGTCACTGGCTAGGCTTTACCTGCATGAAGAAACAGCTGGAGATGGCAATGGTCAGCAGCAGCAATTTTGCTTTTCTGTGTGCAGGATTACAGTTGGTAGTGTTTTCTCATTAAAAGCAGAACACTAAAGCAGTGCTTGAGTGCTTCAGCATTTCTAACGCATGCTTCATTTTCATAAGTATTTTTAGACTCTGTGTGTGGGGGGAGGTCAGAGTGGGTGGTTAGTGGGATAGATAACATACTTCAAAATTCCGAATATGAACCATGGGGGGAAAACCAAGCTTAGAAATCACATGCTTCGGCTATAAAAATAGAACTTGCCTTTTTTTTCTTTATTAAAAAAAACTTTAAAATTTGTTAGGCAGTGTAGTCCATTGTAGAGTGGTGAAGCTACTGCTGGTAGAGCTGATATCCCTCAGGAAAAACTTGTCCTTGCCAGTTAAGCTCATGGTTTTCATCTGGATGTCTTGAATGCTGTGTTTGCCAGGGCTGTCATTGCAGTCCCACTGTAGAGGATCCTCTATGACCAGTTCTCCAAAACCAGGCAGATTTCCGGAGCCTGAAGTGGAAAAGAAAGATGTCTTTACATGCTTAAAACAATTTTTGGAAGGTGTATAGTATTTTTCAGCTAATAACATAAGTGATGTTAATTTTTTTGAGCTTAAAGATTTTGTTCACTTCATCATCACTTCCAAATATTGCTGAAGTCATCTATTAAAAAAAAAAATCCTTTGAAGATAAATAATTCACCTTTACAGACACAGAAACCAAGTCTGAGAAAGAAGAAATGATTACTCAGAGTTGCTTGTACTCTGCCTACGCACAATCTCTGTACCTTTATAACTGCAGCATTGGAAAAACAAATACCTAAAAAGGTGGAGTTGCCCTAATGCCAACAAAATGTGCTGACAAACAGGTGCGTTGTCTCTCTGGCTTTGGTTTTCAGACCTAGTCACAGCTTTTGGGACTTTTCAGAGATAATTACATTTCTGCTGCATTAACTAAGCCAAAGGTTCAGAGATGTGCTGCACTATTATCCCATTCTGAATTGTTTTATAGGAGTTTAAAGCCCAAGGTCAGGGCTTTAAACCTGTCCCTTGGCAAGGCAGACCTTCCTTTTTCTCCCTGCAGTTTGAGGAAGGGAATATTTTTAGGGAAAAAGGGAAAGAGCCACATCTACATTCTCCGCACCCCGTTACAGCTATCTAAACCCAGAGATTTTCAGGTCTGAACGAGGGAGAGGGCGACCTCTTTCATGAATGGACCAAAATGGAATGTTTTCATTTCCAATGGGCTTGAAGCCAAGTAAATATTAGTCAATCCAAACTAGTTTTGAAATTAAATTATTCTTATTTGTTGGAGCATTCCAGAGAATAGCTTTGATCTGCCTGTACTTTCACCAAAGGGATATTGGCAGGCTGGCCTCCCATTTCTAGCCATTCGGGATGAAAGAGGGGTTATAATAACCACCTTGTGTGGCAGTGATACTGAACAGATGACATTTTTTGGACATTTTTAAATGAATAAAGGTAAACATACTTCAATTAAAATGTTTTTGGAGGCTGAATGCAATAGTGCTGTTGGAAAGTCTTCTATGTGGGCTGGAGGAATTTGGCTGCATTTGTAAGTGATTTTCATTAACTCCAAAAATGTTTGAAAGAGAGGGGTTTGTTCTGTGTGTTATTTCCTTTTCAAATAAATACCTTGTTTGAACAGAACTTTTAAAAATCAAACTAAAATTGGCAGCGGACAACAAAATTGTTAGTAACTGGGAAGCAGAGATGTGCGTGGAAGGAGGACGGTCTTGCTTATTTAGTACTTTGCTCTTTTCCTGCTGGGGTCTTGGGTCACGTCACGCACGGTGAGCCGTGCTGTGCCCCGTGCGGCGAAGAGGTAACACAGAACATAGCCCTGAGTAAACTGAAGGACACAGCAGTGAAGTGGCAGATTGTCAGTCTTGCTGAAGATATTTGGAGACAGCTTAAAATTTCAATTAAAGTAAAAAATAAAATGCTCAGTTAACATATTAAGGCTATTGGGTGTTCCCCTTCAGTCTTGCCGGAGGGCCCTCCAGAAGAGGAGGAAGAGGGAGCAGGGTGATGGGGACCATCCTGCTGTAAAGTGCTACTTGGACCCAGCCGAGGAGCCTTTCAAACTGATATTGGCTGATGATAATTTGTGCTTGCCCTAGCCTTAAACATGAACTGATGTAAACGGAATTAAAATATAAATACAGTCATTTTGGTTGCATAGGACTGATGGAGTTCATCTGGTCTAACCGCTCCCCAAAGCAGGGCCACCTTCAAAATTAGGTCAGACCGCTCCGCACCTGTAATTCAGCTATCTGTATGAGAAGTTCAGGTATCGTTTTTTAAGCCCCAGTTTAGACAGATTTCAGGTTATTTGGAACCTTTAATGTTCAGGTTTTTTACGTATGTTTACATGTCTTTTGTCGATAACTAAATCTACAAAATAGCTTTTGCAGTAACGCTGCAAATTAAATTGCTTTTGCTTGATATGGAAGGGACTGTTTCATGTGGATGGACAAGTGTCTTCTCATACGCACGCTATGCGGATTTGCTTTTCTTTCACAGGAGCTGGACTAGCTGTGCTCGACTTCTGCGTTCAGTAAAAGAAGAATCTCCTTTAACCAATACCACTTTACACAGTCAGCCCTGTTGATGAGCGTCCTGAAATGTCACCTGCATTTCAAGTCCGTATAAGTACTTTGTTCAAACTGTTCCTGCCTTAAGGCATGAACGCACGAAGACAGATATAAAACCCAAAGCACGAAGGGTTTGTAGGTTAAAACCTCAGCTTTTGTTTTTTTTGAACATCCGCTCAAAACTGGATCCATTTGCTTGAAATGGAATATTTAGTTTTCAGCTCAGCATGTGAACTGGTCTTGCTTGAATTTAAAGCTTGATTTATTTCTTTTTGCACCTGTTTTTATTTTAACACTGACTGTATGCAATATACACTATTGCTACATGGTTCCTTTCTCCCCAGCTGGAAGTCTGGTCTGATATTATCATGTGAGACCTTCCTAAAACATACGGTTGTAACTCTGCAACCCCTGGAAATGTGAAGTAGACTCACTGCTCCATTTATCTTTTTTGAGTTCCTAGTTTTCTTTCCTGTGTGTTGTAAGACTGACCCAGGTATTTGTTTTTCAGGCCAGGGGCTGGTTGTGCACTGCACTCCAAAACCTTGTTTCTGTCAAAACAAGTGCAGCCCTGCCCCTGGCAAGAGGTACCGGACAGGCTAGATCAGAGGAGGAGAACTAGATGTGGCTGTGGAGGAGGAAGCTGTGGTGGGGCGTGAAAGGAGCCGAGATGAGGGAGAACAGGGGGGAGGGGAGACGGCGTGTGGGAAGCCGATGCGGAGGCGGCAGGGGTGTGCGGGAGGGCTTGGAAGTGTGGGGTTTTTCTGCAATAGTGATGTTTGACAAAGAGAAGGGACGAACTGAGTGAAGGTTTGAAATGAAATGACATGTGTATCCTATTGGATATGCAAATTGGAATTACATAATCTGCAATAATAATAAAAAAATCTTTTCTAGATTTGCAGCCTTAACCATGTGCTCAATGGGGTGCTGGCAGAGAGCGGGCCAAGGCAGCTGCAGTGTAAAATTGGGGCATCCAACTGGTTTTGATCTTGATAGAAGAGGGGCAGAAGGTCACTTCACAGTCTGTTGTTCTCAGTGTCTCATAGTTTTATAATTCTTTGGGCAGATAAATGGTGAACACGCTTCTCTGAGTGCTGTAGTAACCGCAAGCCGTCTTTCTTCCTTGCTTTCCCTTCCCCATGGAAAACTGAGGTTGGTGGACATTGCTCCTGTTGTTGTCCATGCAGGTGTACAAACTGGAGGTGTATTTACTGTATCCTGTGCTGGGTTAACTACGGTAAAGTGTGTGCCCTTTATGGACACAATTTTACTGATAGCAAAGATGAGCAAAATGATGGAATATACTGAGATGCAGAAATAGAGCCTCCCTAAAACTAAGCAGGAGCGTTCAGCCAAGAGATCACGACAGGTTTCTTTTTGGGGTTTGAAGGACTGCTGGTTTTGATGATGTACAGAGCTTTCCACCAATACATGAGCTTATAGATGCTGAGCGAGAAGAGCTGCTGCTATCTGTACAGCCACGGTTGCCCTTTTTTTGCAAGGAAGGTGGAAAAAAATCTCAGTGGATATGAGCCTTTTGTATCTTTGTGTGTTTATGGATTGAGAATGCGTTCAGTGATTTAAGCTGGTGACACTGGAACTGTTAACACAGTGACTGGCTTAGGTGGGGGAAATGTGAACGCTCGAGCAAGAATTAGGGAATTTGTTCAACTTCATGAAGACAGAGGCAGTTTTAGGCTGCTATCCCAATTCTGTTGTTGGAGGGATATGTATATACACACGCATGTGTGCGTATAAAAAACCCTGTGTGGGTTGTGCGCTCATGCTTGTCAGACTTGGTGTGATTTCACCGTATTAAGGTGCTATTTTGAATATACCCTTGGGATTTCTACGTATCTCTTCCCAGAGCTGCACTCAGCATACTTTCTAGCTGGTTGGCTGGCTGTGGTGCTAAGAGGCATGCTGAGGATGACTTGCATAGCTGAAAATTAGGATGGACCCGGAGGCGGGTGAAAGGAGTGTATGACTGGGGAGCAGAAGCCTTGCAGGCAAAGAAGTTTTATTTTATATAGTGCAGTTCTTGCACATGTAAACAAAACCTTTTTTTTTTTTTTTCTTTCTCCCTAGGGTGACTCTGTTATTACAGTGCAGCTGACTGAGGAAGATAAAGTTGAAGATGATGTAGTTTTTTACTTGGTCTTCACTGGGTCAACTGTCCAACACTGCACAAGCACAAGAAAGATTAATCCTGGGAGTCTGGAGACAATCTCTCCTGGTAAACAATTGCCTTTCTTTGCACATCAGCATATCAGTCTGTGAAATGTGGTTAGTTCATGTAGACTTAAATGTAATGCTGTTTTGTTGGTTGTCTTTTTCCTCATTTACATATTCGTAAAGAGTAGAAAGTGTGGTTTAGATGACTTCTTTTGCTTTTTAAAAATCTCTCACTTGATTTCGCTAGAATTATATGACTCTGAGATTGCAGTTATTTAATACGTAACTATGGGATTCTATTGTAGAAAATACACAGTTGTATTTACACATAGTAGAAAGCTTTTAAATGTGAGCAAGATAACGGCAGACGCATTTGCAAGGTTGGAGATGCTATTGTCCAAGCAGTGTACAGCCCAGTAAGTCCTAGCTAAACTTAGGATCTGCTTGACCCTGTGCGGTTCATTGCTGTAGTCCTGGTGAAATACAGCCCTTTTCCCCTAAATCCTGTTGTGCAGATCAGAGCCAACACAGAGTTTCTGAAACTCCTGCGGTGGCAGGCGAGTGAACGGTGCTTGGTGCCATCCCTCCGGCACAGCTGGTTCAGATGGGGTGGGTTTTCACGTTAAAGCCCACCGCTCTTTTGAAGCCTTCGTGCCGTTAGCAAGACAAAACAAATGGGCGCGACATTTTCCTTTGGTGACTTCAGGGCCGTGGGAATAAGCGTGTTCCAGGCTGCGGTCCTTACCATTAACCTTTCATTCTGACTTGTTGCTATGCAGCACATTGATACGAGTGTGAGAAACGCCTGACGTTTTCACTATACATAGTATAGCTTAGATGACCAAGTGTATTTCTTGGGTTTACCTGTTTATCTCTCTTGTAAGTGTTGTTTTACGAGAGATGCACATGAAGTAAAATTTGGGCTAAGGAGTTTTTGCTCCTGGGAATGAGTGGCTAAAAGTTGGCCACTGTATTTTTTTGTTTCCTCCTCTTTTTGTGCTATTTGGGTTGTTCAGTTGGCTTGGGAAGAGGAGTCTTTTTGTGGTTACTGACGACTGGAGCCCTGCGCAATCAATCACGTTAGCGCTTATTTTCTCCCGGAGGAGGGAGAAGAGGGGGGTGACTCCTTCTCTGCTTTTGTGCAGCGGGCATGGGGCTCTGCCAGCCCCGCTTGCCATGGCCTCACCTCCCCGTTGGGACCGCGACTGCATCGCCGAGGAAGGAACTGAAAAGCTTCAGCATTCCCCTCCAGCCCGCGCAGGGACCGGCGAGCTTCGTGGGCTGTCCGGGCGGGAGCACGGCCCTGGTGTCCTCGGAGCAGCGGTGGCTGCGCCCGGG